TCACTGACATGAGCATCCCACGTAAGGTGGCGGTCGAAAATGACACCAAGGTTTTTAACATATTGGCTCTCCCGAACGGTCCCGCCACCGACCCGCACGCTGACAGGGGGGAGATCTCTGGTATTCTGTCGGGTGCCAAGGAGGAGGATTTCCGTTTTGGACGTGTTGAGTTTAAGTCCGTGGGCATGGAACCACGATGCCAAGGAGGTGAGGGTAGACTCCATGCGTTGGATGAGGTAAGGAAGATTGCGCTTGGTATCGGAAATAAGGATTTGGGTATCGTCAGCGTACTGGGTCACATGAGCGTCCGGCGCGTGCAGACTGAGGTCGTTCGCAAAAATGGTGAATAACAGAGGACCGAGGGCTGATCCTTGGAAGACTCCCATGGTGTTAGGAAGGGGCTTCGAAACCACTCTGTCACCGGAAAGAGAAGAGATACAGACAGACTGAGTGTGACCGGTGAGGTAGGAGGAAAACCAGGTCGGGTGGATGCCATAGAGCTGGAGCTTGGAAGCTAGCAGTGAGTGAGGAATGACATCAAAACATTTACTAAGATCCAGAAGGCAGAGGAGGGAGATAAGGCCACGGTCCATGTTGGAAAAAGCGCGATTAGTTACAGAGAGCAGAGCGGTTTCGGTAGAGTGAAGAGGACGAAAACCGTGCTGGGATGAAGAGAGAAGGTGGTTGTTAGACATGTAGGCGGAAAGTTGTCGGTGCACTAAGCGCTCGACAACTTTGGCTATGGTGGGGACGATCGAAATAGGACGGTAGTTGGAGACCAGATCAGGATCACCGGACTTAAAGATAGGATGGACTAGGGAGTGCTTCCAAGCATCGGGATAGTCACACGTGGAAAGACAGGTATTGACAACATGGAGCAGGATGGGACCAATGGCTTCGAAAGAAAGGAGCAGGATGCGAATACAGACGCCGTCAGGTCCACACGCACCGGAACGCTTCATGGAGAACACCACCTCCCGCAGCTCCGCCAGTGTCACCTCGGCGACCCGAAAGCCACACGCACCAACACGCGGCAGGCGGCACGGAACGTCGGGCGGCACCCCGGAGCCAGCCAGGCTAGCCGCGACACGTGGGCCGACATCAACAAAAAAGGCGTTCATTTCATCAGGCGTGGCGGTGGGGAGGGTTGCTGTGTCACTCCGCTTACCGGCGACCAGCGGGCGGACGATGCGGTACAGAGAGCTGCTACCGTTATCGCGCAGTCTCGCCTCGATGTCCACCCGGCAGTCGCGCCGGATCGCCGCCCTCACCCTCCTGTCAAGTGCACGGAAGGCCGGCGATCTCCCCTCACGGCGCAACACACCCCTCCTCTCCGCCATCAGACACAGGGTCGCCGAGGTGACAGCCGGCGCACACGGGTTCCGGATACAGGTCAATCGGAGCGGAGCATGCTGGTCAAAGACATGAATCAAACGGCGACTGAGATAAGACCATTTCTCGGCGACAGACGGACAGCTAAAAACACCGGACCAATCAACAAGATACAAGTCATGTAACAAAGTGAGATGATCGATGTTCCTAAAAAGACGAGTGCTAACACGGCGAGGCTTACGGCGGCATCTAGGAACGTTAAAAAGAGCACGAACAAAGTAATGAGGGCTAAAAGCACATCTAAAAGCTCTCACACGCTGCACCACGTTACTCGAATTGCATATAACTACATCTAAAAGAGATCCTGATGAGTAGGTCGGTTGTGTAACGAACTGTTCTAAATTTAAAGATCGCAGCATCTCCAGAAGTCGGTCCTTTCCAACACAGGTGGTAGTGGTAGTGTCAGACAAGTCACAGTTCAGGTCACCCATGATAAAAATTGGTCCAGAGTGCTGCAGTAAAACTCTTTGAAACTGCACCTCTAGTTCGTCCAAGTCGGCCTGGACGGCCGCCACCGTACGGCGCGGGGGACGGTACACTGCGGCGATGGAGAACTGTCGGCCGGTCGCCGGCTTCACTCGCAGCCACAGCGACTCCAGCCGACAGGCCGCGCAGTCTGACGCAGGCTGGGGGATGACAGACGCCGTGTAGCTGTCCTTGACCAGAATGGCCACCCCACCGTAGCCCGCGTCACCCGGCCGGTCGGCTCTGTGTAGGGTGTAGGGTTTTATATCCGTTCAAAATAATCCCCTGTGCCTGTGCTTGTGAGATATGAATGTACAACGGTACAGTGCTGGTCTCGCTGCGTGGTAGCCGTACTCTTCTTTTTCGACAAAGCTGACAATACATCACACCCAATTAGGCTATGGTATCAGTCACTCGTTAACAACTAAAACATGCAAGGCTACACTACTTTAATTGGGCTCGTCATTGATCAAAACTTTATTTCAATTTGGCGGCGACTTTTCCTTGCCTCATCATTAGGAGGACAATTTGTCTTATGTTGGGCCTACGCGATAGTTTGGAAGATCGCGCGACTTGTGGTTATGATTTCCAAGTGACTGATAGCATAACCTTCGAGTAATTTCGATCTTGTCGGAAAGATAATCCATACCACGCGGGAAGAAGAGGACTGTACTGACGTTGACCTCGCGACCGCGGTTACCGTCGACAGCTTGGCCTGGGGCGGATGTCTGAACCGAACCCTCCATCTTGCATAGGACTTCGGTGACACGACCGAGGCTTGTCGGCTTGTTTAGCTCTTCAGATGTGAATTTTCTGAACGACTTTTTCCTGGCTGCTTCTTCCGCGGCGGACGCGCGCTGTTTCTTGAGCTTCCAGGTCTCGCGGTTTTGGTCGTTGGGTGATGGGCTTAGAGCTGCTCTCGCCTCCCGGCGCTCCGCCACCGCCGCAGCCAGCTCGGGGTCGGCAGCCCACGGTTTGGGGTCCGCTCTGGTTCCTCGGGGGATGTTACGTGCACTAGCGTTCATCATGGCCTCCGCCAGGTGCTGGGCCATCTGATTCGTGGTCCGGTCCGGCCGGGGGGGGGGGGGGGGGCTGCGAACTTCAATTCGCATTCGACCCTTCTTCGTCGTTCGGGTCGCATTTCGACCCGAACTTCAATTCAATTCGACCCTAGGCCACGGCCCACAGGTCGCGGCCTAGGGTCGTACCTCCTCCAAAAACGGAAAGCTCCTCGGTTTCGGCCCACTATTTTTGGGGTGTGGTGCAGCTGTTTTTATTTTTATATTTTTTTTTATTCAATTTCGTTTTATTTTTCGCCCTCAGGGGGGGGGGCATGGCCCCCGTAACCCCCTCCCCTGGCTACGTCCCTGAGACGCACCCCTTTCAGCATCAATTAATTCTAACCACCGAAGTCATTTTTCTACCTGCCACTTTTTCATCCTGATGACGATGCTGCCGTTATGTATTGAAACCGGTCTCAGACGCTGACCTGTGAAGTGTTGACATGGCATTTCTGCGACACTGCGCTGTTGGTCGACTGCGGCAGCGACCGGTGTGCCTTGGACGAGCGATGACCTTCACCCCTTTTCCAGCTGTCGCAGTCTCCCACAGAGAACAGGACGTGGCCGCTGGAGCTGACAACAATCTCCAATCTAATCACGACTCAGCTGCAAATCCACTTCTATGTGGCTGTAAGCCAGCGCTGCGGCCGGGGCCACGGGCGGCACCGGCCGCCTCGGGAGCCGGGGTGCAGAGTGGGCCGAGGACGGCCGCCGGCGGCGAGCCGCTCTGCTGGCGCGCTCGGAGGAGTGCCGGCGTCCCTCGCCGGCTCTCAGACACAGAGCCGGACTGGCAGGGATTATCCTGCACGGCCGGTCTCCAGGCCGGCTTACCAGGCCGGTCCGCGGCCCGCCGCGCGCTGAGCAATGACCAGAAATGGACACATGGGCCGTCAAGGTCACACCGAAGCGCCTGTACAGGGGCTACAGGCAAAGTGACATCACTGCCTGCGATTGCACATTTGCCATCTCTCTGGTCATGAGTAGTGAAGTTTCACAGTTGTAGATCGGCATCGATAGCAGTATTCAGGACTTAAAATTAGCATTGACAGCTAAAAAGGTAGGGTTCTCATGAATTTGATTTTTTTTTTAACTACTTGGCGGCCGAGAAACGTTTGGGTATCTGCAACTACCTACCTGAAGTAATGGGAATCCGCATGAGTTCAAGGACATTTGGAGCAAATGTTATATCAATGTGTCGCTGCTTCTCACTCACGCCACTACCCCTTGGCCCTTGCCTTCAAACGACACTCCTCAATCCTTGTGCTCGTCTCGTCTGAAAAAGTTGAATGAGCGCGTGTGTGCCTATTCGATGTGTGCGGATATACGAAATGTCAACATCTGCCAGTGCCGATGCACGCAGCCGACGCCGGACACCAGCTACTGTGCGGTGCTGGGCTCGCCCAGGGTATATTGAGTGAAGGGTAGGACGAACTTTGGTAGGAATTTCTAGTATAACTACTAGAAAACCTACTATATGTGGTCGGGACTAGCAAAAAGTTAGTTCAAACTAGAATATGGTAGCGCTTATGGTTGGCAGTCGTGACGCGCACGTGACATTCATTTCTTAAATTTCTTAAATAACAGGTTTTAGGGGCCGATTAGTGCGCAGATACATTCAATTAGCTATTCATAATTGATTACGCAAACATTCAAGATTCTACATCATTCAATTCTAGCCGAAATCACACGGCGCTCCCAGGATTCGAACTCATGACCCTCGGATCCGTAGCCCGATACGCTACCGACTGCGCTACCGAAAACCGCGCGCCGACGATCGGAGAGGCGGATCGCGGGTGCTGGCGTGCAGAGAAATCTTTACCCTGTACGCCGTAGAAGATCGGCTGGGTTTCGTGAAAAATGGTAGAGGAATTGTCGAAAGAAAATTCATCGATCTATCATTTGAGACTAAGAAGCATTGATTCCTTCAAAGGTTGACCGAGATATCGCTCGCCGAAAACAGGCCATTTAACATGTAAAGCCTATGGGCTGGTAGGAAATGTACGCCGTGGAGCAGCAGTGCTACCAACTAACTTCGGCGGGGGCCGGGGCTCGCCGGACCTGGTGGCCGGCGATGGTGTGCGGATGGGACCCGGCGACGCCGGACCTGGTGTGGCGAGGGCCGAGGCGCTCGCCGTGCTGGGCACCGGCACAGGCCACAGCGGCAGTTCACTCACCGACACAGGCCACAGCGGCAGTCCACTCACCGACACAGGCCACAGCGGCAGTCCACTCACCGACACAGGCCACAGCGGCAGTCCACTCACCGACACAAGCCACAGCGGCAGTCCGCTCACCGACACAGGCCACAGCGGCAGTCCACTCACCGACACAGGCCACAGCGGCAGTCCACTCACCGACACAGGCCACAGCGGCAGTCCACTCACCGACACAAGCCACAGCGGCAGTCCGCTCACCGACACAGGCCACAGCGGCAGTCCACTCACCGACACAGGCCACAGCGGCAGTCCACTCACCGACACAGGCCACAGCGGCAGTCCACTCACCGACACAGGCCACAGTGGCAGTCCACTCACCGACACAGGCTACAGCGGCAGTCCACTCACCGACACAGAACACAGCGACAGTCCACTCACCGACACAGGCCACAGCGGCAGTCCACTCACCGACACAGGCTACAGCGGCAGTCCACTCACCGACACAGGCCACAGCGGCAGTCCACTCACCGACACAGGCCACAGCGGCAGTCCACTCACCGACACAGGCCACAGCGGCAGTCCATTCTCCTTGGAAACGTCAGGCACCACGCTGGCACCCTCTGAGTGCTTCATGTCGATAGCATACCTGGCTTTGTGACTGTTTAACCCTCGCCCTGCTGGGGGGGGGGGGTGCTCTGCTGGGGGGGGGGTTGAACACCCCCTGTGGCTTTTTGCGAATATCTCAAAAAACGGCGGCGCTTGGCACACCTTAATGTTGTGAGAATTTCAGACCAAGGTCATTCAAGGTCAGATCACTAGGTCACTTGAAGTGATCTCACGTCATAAAAAGTTTCAATGTCTGTCATAGCTACACCGATTGACCGATCGCTTTGAAGCTTTCAGCGATTAGCAATAGCATGTACAAAATGTTTATCTCAGAATTTCGATATCGATGGCCTAAGGTCATGTCAATTTTGCGACCTCCCCATTATAAGTCAATGGGAGAAAACTTAAATGCGCCGCTTTTGGACGAAAGCCATTATAAATACTCCCAATCTCTGAATAACTTAGACTTTAGACACACTGAACATGAAAATGGTGTCCTTGACCCCTGTTTATGCCCCTGAGGCCTTTTTTTTAAATAAATTTCAGCTCGATTGTTTGAATTGACGGATTGACAGAGCCGGAGCCCACGCTAAGCAGAGCTTGTTGCGCAGACGCATCTGAAGGTCACGAATGGTATCGCAACAGTTTTTCGCAAATAACTTTTGATATAGGCATGCTAGAGCGATGAGAACGCCTTAGATGTGTTCAGGTTGAGGATACGGATCGACTAATATGCAACATGACTATTTTCGGCCAGGTCATGACCTTAACCTGAGGTCAAATTTTCAAGTTGACCTTTCAAGATTAAGTTATAGTTGATTCGATGCGTCTTGACGAGAGGAACACGATGCCAGTAAAAGTAACCTCGTGCAAGGCTTGGGCCAAAAGTTATTGCAGAAGCACTGTTTCCGAAAAAAATCGGTTATTTTGGCAGTTTTTGCCCCCTGCAGGCAAGACCGTTGACGTTAGGTCAAATCCATGGTGTGTCAAAAGTGGAAATAGCCGCCCAGCTTTAGTTCGCCAGCCTTGTCAATAGATGGCAGTACCACAATATGGGCAGCGGATAGTGCAATTGACGTCAAATTTTCGTTATCTGCTAAGAATTGAATGGTGGATCTTTTCATGCAAGAATCAAGTAAATCGGTCCACAACTTTTCTAGCAACAGAGATATGAAGTCAAACACCCTGCCAGACGGCGGCGCGGCGGCCGGCGGCGGCCGTCACGCGCCGCCTGGGAGACTGGCGGCGCTGAACAGTTCCGACTTGGCACTGCACTAAAACCTGTTAACTGCTTGGAATAGTTATTACAACAAATTTTTCATTCAAGTGAGGAATAACCAAGGGCAGGAAGTGTGTATGCTTGTGTGCGTACTGTGTAAGCCAAGAAACTGCATTAGCAGATACTCGCTAATATTAGATCCAGCCAAGTCCAAACGCATTCAAGGGGATGTGTTCCTGATGGGTCAACAATATTTATCGTTCGAGGGCGGATACAGTTTTAACAATACAAAAAATATTTTTGCACAGCTCTATTCCTTGAATAATTCTCTTCAACGCCTCATTCCTAGTTAAGCGAATTAGCCCACCCTGGTTGAATAAATAAGGCGATTTCGCCACAAGGTCGCGGAAAACCGACCGAAAACGGCCGCGCTCAACGTTAATTTGGGCATGCAGACTCTTAAAAACTCGCATTGGGCGGGTAGGGTTTCCAAGGTATTGGCTCCAAAACACCGTATTCGGCTCCCGAATACGTCCAAGTGACCCGCCTCGTTCCTAGTTAAGCTCTAATTAGATCAAGTGACTCATAAGGAGCGAAAAAGCGACAAAAAGCATGCATTCCCCTATGGCGGCGGGCTGCCGGGTTGCCAGACGGCGCACCGGCTATTTCCACTTTTGACACACCATGCTGAGGGAATTAACCAGAAAGGGCGTAAATAGGGCTATCGCATGTGCTTTTCCGCGGCGCTGTCGTTCTATTGGTTCCCGAGTTATGCGTTGGGTTCTTGGAAATTGTCGACACGCGACCTGACAATCGGCAAAATTTTGCCTTTAATGATCTCTGGTGTATTGACCTTTTACCTGGCCAAAAAAGTAGCTGAAGTGATTTCGTCATTATTTTTGGCGCTCTTTGGAACGCCGCCTTCCGCTTATCGCTGACGCTACGTGGCCTAGGAACCGAGTTAGAAGGGGGGGGTATTCAAACACCCCCAGCAGGGCGTGGAAATCCAGGATCCCCAGTGGGGCGCGGGTTAGTTAGGAAATAAGAGGAATTTTTCACTCAGGTAATGCCAAGATTAAGAACTTTTCGGCCTTCAACTGGCTTTCTCTTTCAACTGCCTTCGGTAGCTGCCTTAGCCTGTCCATGGTGATTGCTGATCGAGTTTCAATATTGTGTGTGTTTTCTCTCTCTCTCTCTGTCTCTCTCTCTCTCTCTCCCTCTCTCTCTCTCTCTCCCTCTCTCTCTCTCTCTCTCTCTCTCTCTCTCTCTCTCTCTCTCTCTCTACCGGGCGCGGGGCGCGAATGCTAGACTCAAGTCACTTGAGTTAAGTGGCTTGTTGAATGATGAATCTGGAACGGAAAAATATTATGTTTTACTTGTTGCAGAGCTTGTTGCGCTTGCTTTGCCCTCTGCCCTCCAATCGCACAATTCCTGGTTTATGTCAGAATTTATAGTAGGCATTAACGTCCGTACATAGCCGCGTATGTATGTACGCCCGGTCCCCATCACTGATCTCCGCTGATTACGGCCTGCTACCAACCGTAACCATACCTGTCAGGACGCTCATAAACATCTGGAGCCCGTCGCGTTTCGAACCGGACTTTTCTAATCAGGGCACGTGCTCTCACCACACGGAGTCCAACGCTCTACCGGCTGAGCTACGGGATCAGCTACGTATCTTGTTGCGTATTTTGGTACGCATCATTTCAAAAAGGCTGCGGTTTCGATGTTCCCAATGTTATTTGCTAATGCCATCCAGCTACGAGGTGTAGCACTCCTAGCCTGACGGAGACGCCTCCTGGGTAGCTCCTGTGCAATTCAGCCGAACTCGTACCCCTTTCCGCTTCCAGTTTCTCGCTAATCAAACTGCACTCTGCGTGATCAGTCGACGTATATTACCTTTGGTGTGAACACGACCATCAGAAAAGCAACAATGGACATGAGGGTGCGGTTTGCGCGGCTGCGGCGCACTATTCGATGGGCTGAGGTATCACTACTCACTCTAAATTCGCCAGTTATTCACGGTATCTCACACAGGTATTCATCTCACACAGTTACATTTACCAATAACAAGATCTGGCACTGGACGGACCCGCCGCACGGCGCGGCGCAGCAGTAACAACAGCACCATGTGACCCGTTGCACGCCAGCGTGCCTTCGAACAACAACATAACCCACGGCCACGACCGAGTTGGCGGCCTGCGCTTGGCGTCTGCGCGGCCAGCCCTCGCCAGCGAGGGGCCATCGCCGCCGGCCCGCTCCCGCTGGCGCCGCAGCTACCTGAGAACAGTGCGTGGAACACACGGCGCCATGACAGCGCGACGTTCCACTCAGTAGAAGAACGACTCCGGCTCGCAGAAGCCGTTCCTGCAGTGCATGCCCTGGCCGCACGAGGAGCCCTCGGCGGCCGGCCGGAATGACACGCAGTAGCCGCTCGTCTGCTCGAAGCAGTACAGCTCGGCGCACACGCGGTGGTCCTTGAAACAGGCGCTCGAGCCGCGGTCTCGCTTGCACTGCGCGTCAAGGCTGATGAGTTTCCCCGGCAACACGCCCCCGGAGGAGACGTCCTGAGACTGGGACGGGTAGTTTTGCATGCAGGCAGAACGTCGGTCGTTGGCAAAATGCGCGAACTGGCTGATGCTACATGTTGACCACTGCAGCCCCTTGTAGTCGCGGCGCAGGTCCGACATGATGTAGCCGTCTGTCCAGGCGCAGGAGAGAGCTCCCGGGCCGCCGACGTACGAGGCTGGCGGCGAGCCGTCGTGCACGGCTCCCATCAGGTGGCCCAGCTCGTGCGTGGCCACGATAATGCCGGAGAAACCACCCGAGTCCTCTACTAGCGCTACAGAGTTGATCTTGCTAAAGTACTTGCTGATACTGCAGCCGCCGCCGACGTATGCATAACCCGCCGTTACCTTGTTGCAGGAGCCCCAGTTGCCATTTCGTGTGCACATGTCTCGCTTTGTCAAGACGAGGGCGGCATCGTAGCTAGGCAGCCGGTTCTCGTTGTAAAGGTACCTTCCGATCGAAGACAGTGCAGACACGGCATCTAGATAGATTCCCTCCACCAGATTGTTCTCCAGGTATGGGGTCGCTTCTTTGCTCTTGCTAATGACAATACCAGCCACTTTGATGGTGATAGAGGGAAAGGAGACCTGCTTGTAGCGTAGGTCGATGGCGTTCATGAAGCTCATGATGTAGCGTTTGGCGGTGGCAGCGTCATAATTGTGCACTGCGTAAGTGTCGTAGTCTACGATGACCAGCACCTCCGGGAACAGGTCGTCCCCCTGGGCACGTTTCCGCCTACCGGTGTCCCGCTCAGGGCGGCTCTCCGGCTGTTGGCCGGGCTCGGGCTCCAGGAAGGCCTCGTCGTCGGCTGGCGCGAGCGGCGCGCTGCCGACCAGGCCGCGCTGGTGCCGCCGCTGGAAGATGAGGTGCATCCCGCTGGTGACGGCCGCCGAGCGGCGCCGCCGGCCGCTGCCGGTGCCGTTCAAGAGCCGCAGGTCAGCCGTCTCGCTCTCCGTCAGCAGCGGGTGGCCGTCGTTTGGCGGCGGCACCAGCCGGTGGAGGCGGCGCGGTGCTGGCGCGATCACCAGGTCGGCCACCACACCGTTCAGCTGCAGCGTGCCGTCGGCAGCGTGATCGACCAGCAGTGCCGCGTCCGCCGCCACGTCCTGATACAACTCACCCACGTGCATCGCCGTGTCACCGCGCACGCGCTCGATATTGATGCCTGCGTCGCCGACGTCGGCGTAGAACAGTCGAATCCGATCGTCGATCTCATGATTGGCTTGCAGGTCCAGATCGATCCGGTTTCCAAAAGCGCTCACATGAACGCTACGCCGCGCGCGGCCGTCGACGGAGCGCCGCTGTCGGGACCGCACGTGGAACACGTCGTACTCTGGCACGTCGTCGTGACGATTAACGGCAAACGTCTGGCGCAGCTCGGCCTCGGTGAAGTGAAGGTGCAGATTGTGTGCCGGCGCGGCCGAGCCGGCGCTCAGAGCGGCGCACAGCATCATGGTGCGCCACGCGGAGGTCATGGCGGCCGGTGTGGGAGTGGGCACGGCGCCGCACGGCTGCCCTTCACTGTCCAGTCGCGACTCGGCCGCCGCCGCCCGGCTCCACTATTTGTAGGCTGGGCGAGCGGCGGCCGACCAATGCGAGCCGGCCGCCGCGCGGCGTCATCGCGACCGGTCGGCCGGCAGCGCGGCGTCGACTGCCGATGGCGCACGTGCGTCTGTGAACAGGTGGCGAGTTAACACCACCGCTCAGACTCCATGCTGCATACTCACTGCGAGTTTTTGATGTTACATTACAAGCATTATCTGTCTTGAAAGTATCGCTTCTTGGCTGCGGCGGCTCGGCGAACTATTCCATTCAGTTTGAGGACCCCAGCAGTCCAGCAGTGAGGCCATGGCCTGTATCATAAAAAGTACGCGGTAACACGATTCGGCACCAGCGGTAAAAGGTTAATGCTATATGACGCATATAAGTCAATGGAGAAAAATGAAAATGCCTCTAGATCCGTGTGTACGCATAGGAACAGTCCAAATATTTCAGAACCACAATGATTTGGACCACCCGTGAGGACCAAGGTGTCTTTTTGCTGATAGCCTCTAGAAAGGTCATCCGAGGTCATTTGAGGTTACAAACAGATTTTTGCCAATAACTCGCGATTGGAAAGAGATAGGACGCTGGGGATGGTCTCATTGTGTTTGTCTTGTTGAGACGCATCGAATGATATGCAACATGACCTTTTCCGGTCAGGTCATGACCTTGACCCGAGTTCAAATTTTCAAGTTGACATTTCAAGGTCAAATTATAGTTCATTCGACGCGTCTCGGGGAGAGGAACACGATTCTGGCAATAGAAATGTTGTGGCTTTTTTAAGAAAATTTGACGACTTTGACATAATGGCCACTGACCTATAACCTGTTACATTTGACCCCTGCAAAAATGTTACAATTGTCCCCGTCGCGCCTTGACATATTTTAGACGAAACTGGCGCATAAAGATGTTGCATGTACAGCATTTAATGCTTTCAATTTATGGACAACAAGCCTGCCAACGCTTACACAAAGTCTGAAGTCGATATCTTTTCAATGGCGGGAATGAGCTAATCAAATATAACGGTATAAAAAAATTATAAAATGCACTCAAAAACACATTACTGTGCACAGCCATCGACATACCCGGCACTTTCGCTTCAAACTCCGTTGGGAAAGGCAGTATAGAATTACGCATTTTCGGTCTTAACATTAGCGCATTCTATTGGTAAGTTTATGAATTATTAACACTGTTACAATTGCCCCGTGTTACATTTGACCCCGCTCTCCCCTACTTAGCAGTAAGTGGCGCGAGTACTAGACAGGTGGTTAGGACAAAGTTTTTAAGATTTGTGTGGGATTGGCAAGAGTGCTGTGGGCCTGTGGTAGCAGCTTATGTTTTCTTGAATTGAAAAGATAAAGTAGCGAGTTAGGCTTATTTTCAGTGCATATTGACTCTTTGATTTGTTTTAATTGCTGCACAGCGTAACGCCACGAATCTCCATAGGCGGTTTGTCCAGCGGCCTCGAGTGACGTCATTGGAGGCTGGCCTGAGTTTGCAAGCAGCGGGCGGGGACACAAAAGTCCGATTTACACGGGACCAACACTAATCGATTCCAAATCTTATGCCCTGCCAAGTTCCAAGTACCAAGTACTCTGACAATTACCAAGTACTTTAAAAAGTACCTACCAAGTACTTATACGGTGTTTCTCCTATATCTCAACTTCTGAACGTCAGATCGGCATGGAACAAACTGATGGATTCCAGATTCAATGCCCAACTCATGAAACCTTTTTGACCTACCCTGACCCATCGTGACCTCATATGACCCAAATGGCCTGACCGTGCCTAACGTGACCAGCTTGATCTGGACTTGACCTATCGTGACCCTAGGTGACCTCTGTGCCGTGGCCATACCCATCGTGACCTGAGGTCAACCCAGTGACCTGACCTGGCCCATCGTGACCTAATTGACCTGCCCTAACCTAATGTGACCAGTTTGACCTGCATTTACCTATCATGACCTTAGGTGACCTGTGACCTGGCCTGACCCATCGTGACCCGTGACCTGGGGTGACCTATTGTGACCTAAGCGACCCCTGTGACCTTCCATGATCCGAGTTGACCGGAGACCTGACCTGACCCATCGTGACCTGGCATGACCCATGATGACCTGACGTGACCTATCGTGACCTGGGGTGACCTGTTGTGACCTAAGCTACCCCTGTGACCTGGCATGACCTATCGTGACCTGACCTGACCTGACATGACCCAAGGTGACCTTATTTGACACCTGTGACCTCAAATGACCCCTTCGACCTCAAATTAACCACTTAAACACTCTTTTGCGCATATTTAGACTTCTAGAAGTCACTCTAACGTGAAACCTTCACTTTTCGAACTGGCCAATTTAGCGCAAACCATATCTTCGCGACGCAAAGCGAGCGGCGAAGCCCCTTGTCTAACTTACTATTCTAACAGAATCCGTCTGTCTGTTTGTGTGTCCGCCACGCCGTGTAGTGGGTTCAATCTGTCACGCCTACAGGGTAGACGGTATGCCGTAGGAGGTTGAAATGTGCACACCTTCTAGGTGACAGAGCGGGTCAACGCCTTTTCTAGGTTCCGACTCGCTGGGGTGCACGGTTGGCACGTGGCGGGCGCCGGAAGAACGCCAATGAAATTTTGATCGGTTCGTAGATCTTCATCGAGAGCTGGGGTTGACAAACTTTGTGGACTAAATGCATGCCGATCGGCGACGGGTGCCTCGCATTGGCGGATGGGCAAGTTATTAATTTGAATGAAAAGTGGCGAAAAAATGTGTTGATTATCGCTAAATGGGTACAGTTTGTGATGGAATTTACAAATGCACCGCGTTTGCCGCAAGGCGTCACATTGGTCACAAGGCGTTATTTTTGCCGCAAATCGCACAGTTTTGTAAAATATGGTCCGATATGGGTGCAATTTGGTACAAAGATGTATGGTCAATCAACGGGTAAAAATGCGCCACGTTTGCCGCAATGCGCCACATTTGTCACAAAGCGCCATTTCCGACAAATACGGTTAAGGGTAATGGAATGGAACGAATAGGGGCAGGGCTGGGAAGACTTTTAAGTCTGATTGTTTTTTAGTACCTATTGGATTCAATTAGTCTGTGACCTGACATGACCCAGTAATAGGTAGTGGTAGGGGTAGTGGTAGGAGGTAGGGGTAGGGGTAGGGGTAGTGGTAGGGGTAGTGGTAGGAGTAGTGGTAGGGGTAGGTGTAGTGGTAGGGGTAGGGGTAGGTGTAGTGGTAGGGGTAGGGTAGTGGTAGGGGTAGGGGTAGTGGTAGGAGTAGTAGTAGGGGTAGGGGTAGTGGTAGGGGTAGTAGTATGGGTAGGGGTAGTGGTAGGGGTAGTGGTAGGGGTAGTGGTAGGGGTAGTGGTAGGGGTAGTAGTAGTAGGGGTAGTGGTAGGGGTAGTAGTAGTGGTAGTGGCAGGGGTAGTGGTAGGGGTAGTGGTAGGGGTAGTGGTAGGGGTAGTAGTAGGGGTAGGGGTAGTAGTAGGGGTAGGGTAGGGGTAGTGGTAGGGGTAGGGGTAGTGGTAGGAGTAGTAGTAGGGGTAGGGGTAGGGGTAGTAGTAGTGGTAGGGGTAGGGTAGGGGTAGTGGTAGGGGTAGTGGTAGGGGTACTGGTAGTGGTAGGGGTAGTAGTAGGGGTAGGGGTAGTAGTAAGGGTAGTGGTAGGGGTAGTGGTAGGGGTAGTGGTAGGGGTAGGGGTAGTGGTGGAGGCAAAAGTAGAACAGGGGTCCGGGCTGATCTCCCATCAGACGAGAGGTGACCTATGTGACCTGGCCTGACCCAGAGTGACCAGGGCTGACCCCTATGACCCGTCTTGACTCCGTATCACCCAACTTTCATCCAACGAAGTCCTCAGAGCAGTATTTCTTAAATTCTCTTCACATTTCCGTCCATATCTATGCTTCTAGAGCAAGTTTTTTGCCAATATCGAAGCTTCTAGACGTCCGATCGTCACCGGAAAAACACCATTCGATCCCAAATTTTCTCCTTAATCTTTTTATGGCCAAAGCGACGCGGAGCGAGCCAAGATATCTTGTTTAATTATCCATTTGAGTAGGATTTCGGGTTTTTTGAATTGCTCAGTTTTTGCAGCGAGCTTTTCCTGTTAGGGCTTGCGAGATATCTGCGTGCAGACATATCTCTTCAGCATTGCGCGTGACATGGAATGCGGCTGAATTCACGTGCGATTGTGAGTGAGGTACCCCCAGTTGGAAGATTCGGCTGTAGAATATGTAGTTTTAAATACGTAGTTTGACGTAGATCTCGGAAAAGTGAGATACGGCCACGAATGAGGGTGGCTACCTCCGTCCTGAAGATTCTGATCGGCGCCGATTGAAATAATTCGCCGTGCATATCTCGGCTTATTTACGACCGATTGACACGGGACAAACACCGATCGATACCAAATGGCTCTGGGGGGGGGGGGATAGAGTGGCAAGTTTTCCTACCCGACGAACCCGGAATTATCCCGAGGGGGTAGGGGTGGGAGTAGAGTCGCGGGAACGGGGGGGGGCGAGTAGAGTGGCAAAGCAAGTATCAAGTACTTTCGCAAGTACCAAGTACTTTTACAAGTACCAAGCAAGTACCAAGTACTTTGGCAAATACCGAGTACTTAGGCCAATACCAAGCAAGTACCAAGTACTTTGGCAAGTACCGAGTACTTTGGCAAGTACCAAGTACTTTTGCAAGTTCAGCAAGCTTTTCGCCAATATCGAAGCTTCTAGACGTCCGATCGTCACCGGAAAAACACCATTCGATCCCAAATTTTCTCCTTAGTCTTTTTATGGCCAAAGCGACGCGGAGCGAGCCAAGATGTCTTGTTTAAATATCCATTTGAGTAGGATTTGGGTTTTTTTGAATTGCTCAGTTTTTGCAGCGAGCTTTTTCTCTTAGGGCTTGCGAGATATCTGCGTGCAGACATATCTCTTCAGCATTGCGAAGGACATGGAATGCGGCTGATTCACGTGCTTTTGTGAGCGAGGTGCTTCCCTCCGG